GGGGGATGGGACCAGCACAGGGCGGCGCGGGGAGGCAGAGACACGGTGAGGAAGGGGGCAATGACTACCAGCTTGTGCCCTCTCTCAGTGGGGCCCCGCTCTCCTGCCCGGCCCGCGTGGGGCGGGGCGCTCACCAGCATCGTGGTGCGCAGGTCGAACTTCTCCGCCAGCTGGGTGATGTAGATGTGCACGGACACCAGGTCGTGCCGGTCGTTCTCCTCCACCTCGCGGATGATGTCGGCCAGCCACTCGAACTGCCGCTGCGTCCGCGTCACCCAGATGAAGTAGATCTGAGAGCGCACGGAGGGTGGGTCACTGGCAGGGCCCCCGCACAGGGGACTCCCCTGCACCAAGCCCTCCCTGCGCACCCCACAGCCAGCCCGGGGATCCCTGCAGCGGGTGCCATCCTGGGGACCCGCCACAGGCCCCCCAGCAGGGTCTGGCCAGGAAGGGTGAAATCCCTGCACGGAGGGGGGTGAGGGTGCAGCCAGCAGGGGGCGCTCTGATGCAGGGCAGACCTCACGGTGCCGGGCCACTGAGTGTCTCAGGGCCCCTGAGGGCACCGTGTGGCGCCGGGTCCCATACCCGGCGCAGGGCCCGGGGACACGCCTGGCTACAGCACAGTGCTGCGGCTGGCTGAGAGGGACAGCTGGGGGACAAGGCGGGCCAGCCCCTCCAGGGAGCCAGTCCAGTGGGGGGCCAGGGGTCCCTCGTGCTCTGTGGCCGCTCACCTTCTTGCAAGGCATCTTGGCGCTGACGGAGGACTTGAAGACCAGGTCTTTGAGGATGGAGGCGAAGGGAGTCACCCCGATGCCTCCTCCCACCAGCACGGACACGTCAAACTTGTTCCACTCCTGGTGGCCCTCGCCGAACGGCCCGTCCAGGTAGAGCTGGGAAGAAGCCGGGGTTAGCAAAGCCTGCCCGGCTGGCTGAGCAATGCGGCCCCCCCGGCCGGGCGGAGCAGGGACCAGCTAGCCCAGCGCAGTGACCTGCCGCAAGCAGTGCCCGAGGTCCCTAACGCCCACTCGGAGCAGGCAGGGGGCGGGGCCGCAGCCTGCGGCTATAGAAACCAACGCACCGGGCGGGGTCAGCAGACGCCGTAGGAGAACATTAGAACGGGCGGACGGGGTCAGGCCAAGGGTCCATCCAGCCCAGTGTCCTGTCGGCCAACAGGGGCCAATGCCAGGTGCCCCAGAGGGCGTGAGCAGAGCAGGGAACCATCAAGTGATCCCTCCTCCCAGCCCCTGACAAACAGAGGTTAGAGACATCATCACGCACCGGGCGGGGTCAGCAGACGCCGTAGGAGAACATTAGAACGGGCGGACGGGGTCAGGCCAAGGGTCCATCCAGCCCAGTGTCCTGTCGGCCAACAGGGGCCAATGCCAGGTGCCCCAGAGGGCGTGAGCAGAGCAGGGAACCATCAAGTGATCCCTCCTCCCAGCCCCTGACAAACAGAGGTTAGAGACATCATCCGTGCCCATCCTGGCTACTGGTACTGATGGACCTAAACCCCATGAATTTATCTAGCTCTTCTTTGAACCTTATTAAAATCCTGGCATTCACAACATCCTCTGGCAAGGAGTTCCACAGGTTGACTGTGCACAGGGTGAAGAAAAACTTCCTTTTCTTTGTTTTAAACCTGCAATCTATGAATTTCATTTGGTGACCCCTAGTTCTTAGAAAACAGCAAATAGTCTTGCAGTCCCTTAGGCTGTGTCTAGACTACATGCCTCTGTCGGCAGAGGCATGTAGATTAGACACATAGGCAAAGGCAAATGAAGCCGCGATTTAAATGATCACGGCTTCATTTACATTTACATGGCTGCCGCGCTGAGCCGACAAACAGCTGATCAGCTGTTTGTCGGCTCAGCGCGGCAGCCATGTAAATGTAAATGAAGCCGTGATCATTTAAATCGCGGCTTCATTTGCCTTTGCCTATGTGTCTAATCTACATGCCTCTGCCGACAGAGGCATGTAGTCTAGACACAGCCTAAGGGACTGCAAGACTATTTGCTGTTTTCTAAGAACTAGGGGTCACCAAATGAAATTCATAGATTGCAGGTTTAAAACAAAGAAAAGGAAGTTTTTCTTCACCCTGTGCACAGTCAACCTGTGGAACTCCTTGCCAGAGGATGTTGTGAATGCCAGGATTTTAATAAGGTTCAAAGAAGAGCTAGATAAATTCATGGGGTTTAGGTCCATCAGTACCAGTAGCCAGGATGGGCACGGATGATGTCTCTAACCTCTGTTTGTCAGGGGCTGGGAGGAGGGATCACTTGATGGTTCCTAGGCGCATCCCACTTCCTCAGAGGTGCTGCAAGACTATTAGCTGTTTTTTAAGTTTTTCCAGATAAAGACCAACTTGGCAACCCCTCTGAAACCCTAGTTCTTATGTAATGGGAACAAGTTAGTAACTTCTCCTTATTCACTTTCACCACACCCATCGGAATTGTATAGACTTTTATCATATCCCCTCTCCCCCTTAGGGTATGTCTACGTTGCATTCCTCCTTCGAGAGTGGAATGTAAATGCAGACAAATGAATTGCAAATGAAGCGCGGATTTGAATTTCCCGCACTTCATTTGCATAATGGCGGCCGGCTGCTTTTCCGAAATAGCGTATTTTGAGAAAAAATTGGGTTATTTTGAAGGAAGGGTTTCTTTTTTAATAACTCCATTTTTTTCCCTCAAAATATACTATTTCGGAAAAGCGGCCAGCCGCCATTATGCAAATGAAGCGCAGGAAATTCAAATCTGCACTTTATTTGCATTCCTCCTTTGAGAAAGGAATGCAAATGCAGACAAACGAAATTGCAATGTAGACATATCCTAAGTCTCCTCTTTTTGACGTTGAAAAGTCCAAGTCTTTTTCATCTCTCTCCACAGGGGACCCGTTCCAAACCCTACTCCTTTTCTGAACCTTTTCCAGTGCCAAGAGATCTTTCTTGAGGTGCCAGCGAATCCAGGGGTGAAGCCAGAGCACACCCGGCTCTCTCTGCTTGTGCTTCGTCGTGCTTGGAGGACTCTGCTCTCCAGAGACGTGGTCCCCCCTTCCCACCTCGGACTGCCTGGGGAGGAGATGCTCGGTTGTACCTTGGGATATCTGCCGATTTCAGCCACGCTCTCCGGGGAGTACAGCTCCCGCAGCCGGGTGGTCCAGGGCCCGGCGGCTCGGATATGCAGGCTCAGCACGTCCTCATGCGGGGCAGAGGTCAGGGTGAAGGGGTGGTACTCGTTGGTCCCCAGGGAGAGGCAGGCAATTCGCACCCACTGCCCAGACTTGTAGTCGAAGTCCTGCGGCCTCTGGAACTTGAGGTAGGTAACGCCTACGAGAAAGGCCCAGGTTTGCTCAGCGTCTCTGGGAAACCGGCTGCCCCTGGGCTGAGCCACACCAGGGTGATGCGCACGCACCCACGGAAGCTCCAATGTGCCCCCTGCCACCGAGGCCCAGGGGGATCCGGGCAGAGCAGAGAGCGTCACTGCCCAACTGGCTGGGATCGGGTGCAGGCTGAGTCCAGCTGGCGTGGAGGCCGGCAGCGGTGCTTCCCAGAGGAGAGTGTAGCCCGCAGGGCGGCTTGGGGGCTCCAGAGCCCTGAGAGAGCTGGGTTTGGTGCCCGCCTGCGGGGGGTCCTGCAGATGGGCCCGCTCACCCCCATCCCCCGGAAGCCACCCCCTCCCCCGGACCCGCCGGGAGGAG